AATATATATATATATATATAATATATATATATATATATATATATAAATTGAACATCCATTTACATTTATCCAACATTAAGGTATTCCAAATTAAAATAATTATCAGAGTAATTCCCAAAAACATAAGTTGCGGAAAAACATAGGTGTGTGCACCGCGATCAAGTCGGGCCCTTCCCTTTCGAACCGGAAGGACCTAAAACCATAAACCACAAACTGTAAGCACAAAGCTTAGTGAGTTCCCCAGAATACCACATACCATACATAACCATGAGCCAAACATATCAGACATATCCAATCGATCAATAAAAGTGTTATGTTCCAACCATAGTCTTGTCATTATGCCACGAGTTGCCTTGTGGTCTTCCTTGCCAGGCCGGGGGCTACAACCCTGGGTCTTATAGAAAAGTGCCATGAGCCACCTCCGGGTCTTCCATCCAAGCATCACAAAGACAACTAGCATACAATCTACACTACTTAACTAATTAACTGCCAGAGTTTAGACTTTGGTCTTGCATACAGTTTGCCAAGAGTCGCCTCCTGGTCTTTCATACAAACTGCCAAGGGTTACCCCCGGTTCTTCCTACAATACATAAACCAAATTGGCCGAAATTGGTGCCTTTGACCCATAGAACAGTGAGGAGACTCACCTCGAATGCAAAAGTTCACTGAAAGAAATCCCTAGTTGCTGCCCTGACGATTCCTCCAGGCTATCAATACCAAGATAACACCCAATTAGCTATTGGGTTCCAAACGATGATCCGTAAACCATACTTAGGGTAAAATGACCATTTTACCCCTAACCCAACTTAAACCAAAACTGAGGCCCAAGTCCAAAAATCATAAAGGCCCAAAACTAAAAGTTCCACAAAGGCCCACTAATGGTCCAATTTTCCTAATTGGGCCCAACCCATATGGGCCTTATCTTAAAGCCCAAAAATTCCCTTTAGTCCAACAGTTGATCTCAGATGGACCAAAAGGCCCAAAGCAACAAAGCCCAAATAGGTAGCCCAACACCAAAATCACACCACAAGGCCCAATAAGACCCAAATCAGCAAGACCCACATCCAAAGTTAAGTCCAAGTCCAACAACCAAAAACTCCACTGATCAGACGAATGCACGGCGTCCAAGGGCTGAACACACGACGTTCGTCGTCGGACAAATTGACGGGGACTCAAGACGGAACGCGCTGCGTTCCCAGGGGCTACGCACGACGTTCAAGATAAGTTCCAAATTCTCATTCTAAGGACTTAATCCATTAAGTCCAATGTCTAGAACCCCAAAATAGTACCATAACAGTGACTTAACCCATAAAGTCAAAGGCTTTAAGCCTTTGCATGGCTTAAAGAAGTCCAACACCAAAGATGAACCCCAACGGTCAAAATCACCACAAAATGTCTTAAAAACTTCTTAATACCTTAAGACCTCAATCCAAACTTCCAGATCTGATTTCAAGGGACTTCTTAAGTCATAAAGTTTCCAACTTTATGACTTAACATAACTCAATGGGACCCAAATCAAAACCCTAAGTCCCAAACTTCATCAAATGACTACCACATCATGCATGGAAGGTTTATACCCACCAAGATCCAAACTTTATGACTCTATAACCTCAACAAGTACCAAATATGAAGCTCAAAGGTTCTGGAGTAACTTCTGCTCACAAGAACCACCTCAAAGGGACCAAAACCATAACAAAATACCACTTAGCTTGATCTACATGAAAGATTTGTCAAGGTTTAGATTTTATACCTCCACAAGATAGATCTAGGTGCACAAAGCCTAGATCCAAAAGCTCCAAGTCAAGCAATGACTCTTCAAGAAGTTCCTTCTTCTTCCTCAAGCACCAAAAACACACATAAATCACTTTAAAGCTCAAGAATCTCTCAAATGGAGGCTAGGGTTTCGTTCTTAGGGTTAGAGAGGATGGAGGCTGAAGGAAATGAGGGTTGGAGATGAGTTAAGGTCTTTAAATAGGGTCCAACCATCCAAGACCCTAATTTAGGGTTTTAATCTGGCCCGAAGAACGCAGTGCGTTCCCTTGGGGAAGACAGGTCATTCCCAAATACACCTGCGTCCAAATTCCCATGTACGCTATGTGTACCTCCCTTATACGCCATGCATGCCCGTTTTGGCCCAACACCCCTCTAACTTCAAATGGTCATAACTTTTGCATCCCTTATATGTTTTCAATGTTCTTTATATCCACGAAAAGGTAACGAGAAGCCCTACGCTTTTATAAACTTTATTTAGTCTGAAAACCAACTGAAATAAAATCCAAAATTCATAAAAGACCGAATTATCAAATTACGATTATACCATTAACCTCCGAAGACACCATCAAACACTTGGATCACTTAAACCATAACACCCACACCCAAGAAGGGCCAAATTTTTCCTTCCCCAAGGCCCTAAGCCTTATCACCACTGAAGATTGGACCGCAGCCCCAAATAAAGAAGCAAATCCGAAACCGAATGTTACAACTCTCCCCCACTTAAATTAGATTTCATCCTCCAAATCGCTCCTTACCAACACTCGTATCAAAACGAACAACTTGAGGAATGCAACCGAAATTTTGCGCATAAAACGACTTTCCCAAGACAACCGAACCCAAACTGAAACTTCCATCCCAAAGAAAAACAAACTCTGAGCCCCTAAAGGAAACCACTTCTACCCTTTCCTGAACCTGGAATCTACATTAGTCTGACTCCCCGACAGACCGCCCACGCTGAAACAACTCCATGCCAAACTCTCAACGAATAACAGACCAAACATAACACTTCCAACCTTGATCATCTCGATGCTACCAACCGAATAAATTCACTGACCATAACCAGATGCAGAACGCCCATACTTAATAGATGGCTCAGATAATCCTTCGAGTAGAAGATTCATCCCTGCAACGGTTAGACTCAAACGAGAGCTGCGCAACAGGGTTAAATCAATTACTCTCAGATTATTTAATCTCACTTCAAGAGGCTTAGCATCTCCCGATCAACAAGCTACCCCAGACACAAGGATCCCAAATCACTACTACTAGGTAGTGGTGACAGGTAACGATCGATATTCCACCAACACAGTCGAACCCTAGGTGATGCTAGAGACGAGAGAAAATCATGGTCGTCGGTGTCTGGATTTAGGGGGAGAGAGAGAGAGAGAGAGAGAGAGAGAGAGAGAGAGCGTATGTGTTTCTTTCAAACGTATGTTTTTACCAGAGAGAATGATCGAGAGAAGGAAGAAAGAGATGAAGAGTCGATGGCGATGGATAGAGAAAAAAAAGTCGGTCAGATGGGGATATTTCCAAGCAGTCAAAGGCGGTGGAGTCAAAGGTTTTTTTGTAATGGAGTCGGTGGCCAAACTCTAAAGCACCATAAACTCACCAGGGATCAAACTGCCAATTTGAAAAACTTTGGTGGCGAAAATCTAAATGGACAAAGTATACTATTACTAAGGTACCTTGCAATTAACATTATATATAATAACATATTATATATTGGAGTTGTTTTCTTGTTTCTAGGTGTCTTCATAAATGTTGAAAATGTAAAGCCTTCTAATATTGTTTGTGGTGGTGTTAGATTGCGGTGGTTGATGGTGGTGGGAGGTGGGTTAAAGCAAGATGAATAGTGGTAGCGCTACTGAAAGGTGATGGGTGGTTAAAGGACGTAAATAGTGATAATGTGTTCATAGGAAATGATTTAAGTTAATAAATAGTAATAATAATAGTTAATAAAGAAATATAATTAAATGAAAAAGTCACATGTAATTAGACCTAGCAAAACATGACATGACAAAACAACCTAACACGCAATTAACGACTTTGATTAAGAGATTTCGACACGTTTAAGTAACTGGTTGACATGACACATCACGACACGAAAATTAAAAAGGTTGGGTTAGCGCCGTTTAATTATATATCAATTTTCATAAATTTTTTATTTTTTATAAATATATTATATATTATAGACTTGTGGGTCAAACTCAAAAATTAAAATTAAAATACAAATTTTTAAAATGCTTAATTTAATCTTCGTCATCACTTATCCTTTTTGCTCCTCAACTCTTAACACTTTCCATTTTGCCTTCTAAACTTACTAAAAGTTTTGTTATTCCACCTCCAACTCTAAATTTTGTCAGGGCCGGCCCAAGACCAGGGCGAGCTGGGCCACAGCCCAGGGCAGCAGATTTTATAGGGGCATTAAAATTGTTCAAGCTATTATAGATATGTGCCATTTGGGCTAATAATAATATGATCCATATAACCACAAGTCCAGTCCGATGAAAAATGAAGGCGTGACCTAATAAAATTGAAGGCGGCAAATTGAATTGAACGAGAAAATAAAAGACAGGCCTGATGATTCAAATAAAGAAGACGAGGAGACAGTGGGCGAGGTGAGAAGACGAGGAGACAGGCAGAAAAATTATTATGGGTATGTTAAAAACAATCAACAGGAAGCAATTTTAGTACCAGGAGATCGTTGTTGTAAGCTTTCCCTCAGAATATTCTCGTAAGCTCCAATTATTGAAGAATGCATTTTTAGTTAGAAATAGTCTTTGAAATTTTCAATTTTAGGTAGAATTGGTCTATGAATTTTTCATGTTCACGTCGAATTGGTCTCCGATTTTACAAAGGCTGATGGTATTTATGCGTCTTTTTGCAGACTTAGGTTTTGTGTAGTGAAGAACATGATGATTGAAGAGGTTGTTTTATGTACCTAAACCGATTAAAGAAGCTGTGAGTTCTGATTTGCTTCTTACAAAAGGTCATTTGATTATTGCAGTTCATTAATGGACCAATTGCAATAAATAACAGGGCAATTTCATTTATATTTTCATTATTTTCAAATGACTAATAGATTTCAAGTTTTTGTTAGCCATAGAGTGATGAGATCGCACAATGCTTAAGAATCCAGTTGCTACAAACAACCCATAAGCATCAGAGTATGCATCAGTTTTATTTTCACTTTTGAGAACGCTTTCTTCTAATAACTTTACATATTTGCCCGTGAAAAATCATTAAGATATACATTGATTCTGAAAACTGAAATGAGTAAAAATATCTTGTAGCAACTCCCACTTCTAACACCCTTTATTTGGTGTTTATTGATGTATGAAACTTGTGGACTCATGACCATATAGAAGTCTTGTTTTTGTTTTAATTGAAAGAAAATGCTATCAACGTTTTAACCTTTTCTTGAAAAAATTGATGCACCTGATTAGGAATATGATTAGGAATAGGTAGGTGGATTGGGATTCTCAAACATGAAGAAGGTTGGCGGTGATAGTGATGTGCTCATTTGAGAGATTTTGATTTTGATTATTTTTAAATTTAAATTGGATTTTGTATGGTTATATCCTTGATTTTAAGGTTTGAAAATTTTAACATACATACCTATTATCTGGATATACCAAGAAAGATATACCAAGAAAGATATACGGTCTAATGAGGCTACTATGAAATATTTACTTATGGGTGGGGCAAACTCTTCTATTCTGGTTCATGGTTTCTCTTGGCTATATGGTTCATCAAAAGATGAATTTAGATGATGGCAAATCCATATTTTTATATCAAATATGGTGTTAAGACCTAGATAAATGTTGGATAAAGGATGCTCCTAAAACGATGTGTTTGGTTTATCGTATGGTGGGCATTTTTTTACTATCTTGTCCCGGGCATCGAAAGCCAATGGATCGGCCCTGAATTTTGTTATATACTAAATTCTTTTTGTATCTTTCAACCTAAGCCCAATAACAATGTTGGAAAGATTTAGACCTTGTATGTATGTTTGTGTCATGTCTAGTGTTTCCCTTTTTCAATTTCGCCTCCCTATCTCCTACTTTCCAACCTATAAAATGTTTAAACTCCACATCACACAGCATGCAGGAAACCAATACGAAAATAAATGGATTGACACAACACAGCAATTAAACAGATCAAGGTCAAACCCTATCAGCACATTTAATGTCCTGACACGACTCAAACCCGACAGGCTACATGGAATCCATGTCTTCCATGTGGGCATGTTTGGTGATGCAAATGACATGTGGTATGCCAAAACAACAAGTAAACGGACTATGAAAGAAATTTAAACAATAGGGGCCATTTGTGTAGTTTAGAATAACCAGTTAACAGAAAAATAGTTAAAACTTAATTGATATGTACCTTAAAAGTTAGATTACCTGTTGCGCAATAAAAAATACATAATTGAAATTGATCATAGAAAATACAAAGTAGATCCATGCCATCCAGTTTGTAGTTTGTACCCCTTTTCACCGCCATCATTTCTAAATTCCACACCGACTTCAAATCAAAGTAAAAAAACATGCCAATGAACAGTCATGCCCATCTACACATATTCATCTTATATGTAAATCCTTGTAGTGTTTGATGGAAACCATTGAATGATTTACTCCCACAAACCTTTTCTCGTGCTATAAAGCTCAACTTGCAGCCACCCTTTATGCCTAAATAGTCTACTAATGTCGGATCCATGCCCGATGGTTAGACGGTCGGAGAAAGTTTGCAAGGTTAACAACTTTTTAATCATCAGTTTTGGGATCAAACCAGCATTATGTGTTGTATCACATTTGGAACCCTTCACTCAATCAAAATTCATTTCATATTCCAGTTTGAAACCAATATTGATGATTACAAAGTTGTTAAGCTTACAAGCTTTCTCAGACCATCGGACCCAATATTAGCAGCCTATTTAGGTACTGCTTAAAAGAGTGGCTGCAAGTTGAGGTTTATAGCATAAGAAAGGGTTCCTGGGAATTAATAACTCAAAATGTTTTCATTGATCAAAATGAAGCTTGTATAGATGGTCATGACGAACATCTTCATTGGGTTATTTTAGAATGACAAGATTTAGAGAGCTGTTTGGCCAACAACATGATGAATATGTTTCACAAAGGTGGAAGACCGTAGAGCTGTCAAAAAAATAATTCGTCATTAAAAATTTATGTAAAATAAAAAAGAATAGAACTTATTTAAAGCAATAATGATTAACATTGCGTTTATTAAAAAAAAAAGTTATGGCGGTATTATAAGTTGTAAATGAAAAGGGTTTTACTCAAAAAAATAAAAGCAGATGTGCTGAAAGGAAATGAAATGGAGTTGCATAGAAGATGTAAAAAATCATAAATCTACACAGATCTTAACTTATTTGTTACCCGGAAAAGAAATAAAATTAGACTTCCGATTATTAAAACCATAACATATAGTTTAAATTTGTAGATCTACGCAGATCTGATGTATTTCTTAATATTGTAGCGAGAAACATCGAGGCAGAAGACAAAAACAGTTAAACAAGACTTAATAAGTGAACAAACCTAGTCGGGTTCCCTGTAGCAGTGAAGGGAGAATATGAAGATAACTCACAGCAACGGGGACAGCAAGAAACAGCTGCGAGGTTGAGACGGCGAGACTTGAGAGGATAAGTGTAACTTTTTTAGATCTGGAGAAATTTTTGCAATTTTAGGTTTGGAGAAGTGTGCGGCGTCCTTGCTTTAAAGAGTGGAAGTAGGTTACTAGGTTAGTGGGGTGTCGCCGTCTCGACACACGATTTTACCGGCACCCACAAATAGTAAATATTAGGCCAGTACCAACACATACCACGTATGTCATTGGTGTCGCACCATATTCCCATACCATTAATATGAGATACCTACTACTAACACGTCACTCCATATCATTATTTTTATTTTTTTTAATTTAAAAATACAATAAAATTACATTTTTTATAATTAAAAAGCATTCATTTTTTTTAAACTAGTTTTTCATTAATTATAAAAAAAATTACAACTTCAAACTACATTACTTAGTTAATCTAGAAAAAAAAACATTACATTAATTAAAAAAAAACAAACAAACATACATATAAAAAACCTAATCGTCGTTCATGCTACGTTGGTACAAATGTTCTGCGACATCTTCTCGAAGATTGAAACACGTTTCACTGTTATGAATTTCAACAACTCACTCTAAAAACGCGTTCGTTCCGGGTACGAACTCCTCAATTGGAACAACAACGTCGTTCGGATCATACGTGCAAATCGCTCGACCTTCATCTTCAATAATCATATTATGCATTATAATACATGCTAGGACCATTCGTTTAATTCTTTCTTTATCCCAGGGTCGTGTAGCATATTTCACTACATGTCATGTCTGCTTAAGGACTCCAAATGCCCTCTCGATATCCTTTCTCGCCGATTCCTGTTTTTTTGTAAACAACTTTGCTTTTTCACTTCGAGGAACCGAGTATGCATTCATCAATGTAGAATAATCCGGGTATATCCCATCACCAAGGTAGTAACCGTATTTGTACGCGTGCCCGTTCACCGTGAACGTCATATCAGGTGCTTTGCCGGTCCAAATATCATTGAAAAGTGGAGACTGACCAAGAACATTAAGGTCGTTGTTGGACCCCGCTACTCCAAAAAAGGCATGCCATATCCACAAATTTTGAGATGCAACAGCTTCTAGGATGATAGTTGGTTCACCTATATCTCCTCGAATGAACTGACCACGCCATGCATTTGGACATTTTTCCCAAGCTACATGCGTACAATCTAGACTGCCAAGCATACCCGAAAATCCATGCCTCTCTTCATGAGCTGAATATAATCTTTCAATATCACGTTGAGTAGGTTTGCGCAAATAATCTTTCATAAACACATGCAGAAAACCAATCTACACATTCAACTGCGGTCCTCTCGGATACTTTCAAGTATTCGTCAGATGCATCAAATGCTATACCGTATCCCAAATAGCTAAGAGCAGCCGCACATTTTTGTATACTATTAAAACTCATTCTTCCTTTAGCGTTGGGTTTTTGTTTGAAAAAATCATAACGGAATTCTAAAACATTACTAATACGTAAAAATATAGCCTTATCCAGACGAAAACGACGTTCGAACGAATCATCATTATAAAGACAATTATCGGCAAAGTAATCACGTACCAATAAGTCGTGTGCGGCTTGGCGATCACGATTGACGACCGCCCTTGTACGAGCAGCATTCGAACTTTCTTCGTCGTGAATGTGTTGCACAACGTTGAAGAATGTCTCGACGAATTCTACGTCGTCATCCGAGTCAAACGTTTTTAAAAATTCCATATGTTTTGTGGAATCCAAGTATATGTGTTTTGTGGTTTTAGAGAATGAAGGTTAGAATGAGGTGTAAGTTTTGGTGAAAATAGAAGGTTTATTTATGTTATTGAATTGAGTTTGAAAAAAAAAAGAAATAGGCAAAATAGTCGTTCAACGGCCAAAAAAACCAACCACCAATCACCTTCTTCGTTTGAATTCGTCGTCGGGAACACGAAAGATCACGACCACGCCCGACCACGAAATGTCGGGGTGGTGTGCACGAGCTTTTCTCGTGGCCAACTAGACCACGAATCCATTCATGGTATGTATACCACAAGGCCTTAGTAAATATTTGTGGTAAAAAAGACATCAGGACTCCAAATCAATCTGAGACATAATTTCATAAATGGTCCTGGTATCCTAAAAATCTAAGGTTTAATTCTTAAGGCCGGACGGAATGCACAGCGGGGAAGGTTGCGGGACCCTTCCCGCACGGTGGAACATCGCACCGTCGGTGCGGGAAAGGGTGGTGCGGGGAAGGATGGGGTAGGGGGGGGGGGGAGCTCAGCAGGTTTCTTTGTCATTTGATGATTGGTGCAATTTTTTTTTGGGACGTAACCGTTAAAAAACGGTAAAAAAACATAATTTTTTTTACCAGCGGCTATAAGCATTTAAATCTATTTTATTTTTTTGTTTTTTTTCTATCCTTTAAAACATCTATAAATACTCATACCTATTTACCTTCAATCAAACCCTCTACAACCTCTATTTTCTTCCAAAAAAAAAAAATCTGACAATAAAACTCCAACCTCCGATAGAAGCTTTGCAATTTTACCTTGAGGAAGTCAGAAAACCATTCAAGTGGCAGGATCGTTGGAAATTATTGGTTAGATGTCCTAGGTGGAAAAAATACGAGCGATATTTTATTTTTGGAGTACAACAATCAAAGCGAACGAAAACGGGCTCTAGTGGTTACATAACTTCCCCCGATGCTCGGGTCGGTCTAGATTTAAATTAGGAGGGTGAACTCGTGTTAGAAGAAATTGTCCGACCGATGGGTAGGGACAAAGCAAAGAGGAAGGGAAAAAGGACTTCTTCGGGTGAATCGGATTTCAGCATGGACGTTGACAAAATGCGGAAAATAACAGTGTCGTTTGATCGATATAATCTTAATTTTTCTCCGAACGTTTGACGTTCGACAAAGAAAAAGAAGAAGCAAGGAAGAAGGAGCACACAGAGAGACAAGAAATGGAGGATATGAAGTTCTTGATGGAAAACACCGACCATCTCTCGGGTCCGACTCTCGAGTTCGACTCTCGAGTTCGTGATGAAGAAAAGATAAAATTATGAAAAAATATTTTTCATAGGTTCTCGTCGGTTTGTTTGATTTTTTGTTTGTGTTTTTTTTTAATTTTCTACTTTTTTAAATTTTAGGTTTATTGTAATTATTATTTTAATTAATGAAATGCATTTTCTTTTTAATTAAATTTTTTGGTTGTTATTAATTTAAAAATTATAAATCATAAAAATCATTTTATTTTATTTAAAAAAAATAGTGAGGGAAGCTTCTGTGACAACCCGAAAAAAAAAATTATTTTTAAAGCCCAGTCAATCAACTCAACTGAGTGTCAAACTCATTAGTACAGAGTTCTAGCCCGGTTAAAGGTCATTCTAAGGAGTTTTGAGCCTAATACACTTAAGGAATAAGTGTTAGAAAGCACCTGTTAGAGACTCTGTACAACACTCAAGCCCTAAACTCCAACATGTGGAGTTTACGGCTGTAAACCCAAGGTAGGCCGTGAAGTCCACCTTATAACCTCATTTCCTTCACTTTTCTTCATTCCTTCACTTTCACCTCAAGAACACATGAGTTTTCTCTCAAGTATCATCCCGATCTTCATACTTGATCTTCAAAAATCGTAAGTGTTCTTTCTCTAGTTAGTTGTTAATCCTTCTTAACTAGCTTCATCCTCATGATTCATCCATGGAAATCATGTTTTCTTAGATCTTCAAGTTTCACCAAGAACACCAAGAACACACACTAGTGTTCTTGGCAAATATCAACCGTTTCAAGCTTCTAGATCGTAAGTACACTTCCCTATACTTCTTATCTAGTTAGTATCCATGCTTAGAGACTTGAAACATCCACTTTCCCATGAACATCTTGAGTTTACGGTCCAAGATCTTCCTTGACCGTAAACTCAATGTTGAAGCATGTATTGGCCATAAACCCTATAAGATGCAAAGATAGTGATCCATAACCCTTCATTGATGTATGAAGGACCTTAAACTTCACTCAAAAACATAATGACCATGAGTTTACGGCCGTAAAATGTTGGGTTTTGAGCATTCTAACACTCCTATGGTGTACATGCAACCCTATAAACCTTGGATCTATGTTTTCTCTATTATACATGCAAATATTAAATATTCCAAGGCTTCATCCTAACTAGCATATTATGAAGCACCTATACTACAAAGTTCTAGTTAGATGACATACCTTTTGATGTAGCTTGATGTCTTCAAGCTTTAAGAGCTTAGCCCCAATAGTGTGGAAGCCTCAAGTGGAATCACAAATCACCAAAACACCTTGGAAAACCTTTAGAGAATATGGATACTTGGCTCACACTATGAAATCGGTTATTGCCCTCTTTAGTGTATCCACACTAGCCACTAGCATAATTTCATGAACCATAAGACCCTTTATATAGTGTGGAGGATTAGGGTTAAACCCTAATACCCATGACCTTTCATATCCTAGGATCCATGGGTTAAAGCTCCATGGACTATCCATGAAGACTTAGCCCAACCTAAATGAACTTGGCCCACTACATATATATATATATATATATATATATATATATATATATATATATATATATATATATATATATATATATATCTAAGAGTCCATATTTAATTAGTTCCTTTTGATCACTTAATTAATTATAAATTAATTCTTGATCAATACTAATTAAATAATATGATTATATATTAATATATTAGAACTTATAATATATTAATATAAATCATAAATATACTATTCTCAAAAGACTATCCATATAAATTGTGTCGGTGAAGTGCAACCCAAATGGACCATGTCGGGTCGGGTCAAGTACATACCAAATATAGTTATGGACTTAGACATTAATCCAACAGTCTCCCACTTGGATAAGTCTAAAACTATTATTGAGTATGACTTCAAAAACCAACTGGCAATCGTAGCTCTTAAAGCCGCTGTCGAACTCTGATCTTGTCAATGAACTCTGACCTTTGTCAATGACTTGTCCATTAGATAAGGGATCATATATTCCTCCATTCTAGATATCATATGGACTGAGACATGAATTATCAATCATTCTCTCTGTCCATTTGTTGTTTCCTGATTTTCGATTTATGATGATTGACTGATTGAACAAATCAAATCAGTCCTGGCTTGGCCAAGCACTCACATGTGTCATCACTAAATCATCGAGGGGCCCATAGATATCGCTTTTATCCCGAAGGTAAAAGGAATGGATAAACTTCGACTCATATGGCTTGTTCTACTACTTGTTGAATCATACACAAAGGCACGTTTTATAACATCGAGTTACCAAATGCGTTTTCGTGCAATCAATGTACAACCAACTCATAGTAACAACTCATATCTCTAGGTTTGAAGAATATAAGATATTATCGTCTCATGATCACTCGTGATAAAATCCATGAAGTGATTCAAATGAGCGCGGGTTGAATCCAGTACTCAGAAGTTATGAGCACTCATGAGTGTTGTAGCACAACTTTGTACACCAACTTGGACCTCTACAAGCCAACCCATGACAGTCTTGATTCATATCTACTTCCAACATATGACCGACTGTGGATGGTTTGAATAACTTAGTCATTCCGGAAGAATAACCTAGTTATTATGGAAGTCAAAACATGCAAAGTGAAACACAAGAATAAATGAATCAAATATGGTATCAAACCCTATGAATATAAATAAACCACTTTTATTTATCACCATACTGATTACTCATTATGCATTGTTTCGGTTTTATCAACTTTATACCTGAATTAAAAACACTAGTTGTCCCATGCTCCAAGCATGTACACTATGTTTTTCTAAACAATAGCTTTGCCATACACCAAGTATGCACTCTATGTTTATCTATGATCCTTACTTTGTGAACTAGATCGATTGAACATAATTTCAATGATTCTCTTTTCACACTTCCAAATCCTTGTCGTAAATGTAAGAATTCCTAACATTTATCGAAATCTGTTTAGATTTTAAACTTATATGCATTGTTCCTCTTGTAATGATTATGCACAAAGCCACAAAGACTTGGCAACAATCATTACAGAGTATTCCAATGGAGAGAAATTCCATGGAAATGATGTCTCAAATTCAAAGCGCATTGCTTTGAACATGCTTCTTGCATTAAGTTTCTTTAACCTTACACAGATTGAATAATTTCCACCTGTGGAAATATTTCCATATTCCCATTTTGACTATCACTTCTGAACAAGAGTTGCCTCTTTTCAGAGTATATCAATATGGTCTTTCCAAAATTTAACAGTATACTTCCAACTGTCCTTGAGCAACCAATCTTTGCTAAACCTTAGATTGTCCTCGACAATTGCTTAATCACTTTAGTCATATCCAATTCTAGACATTTTCCTCCTTAATGCCGCAAGGCATTTGGAAAATTCAGAAAGGATAAATATTATAGCACATGTAATCGATCTTGTACCCAAAGCAAATGGGACACGATTCATGATGTCTCACATAAAGACATGATTCTAGACCAGTCTTTTGCTACAATATTTTTATTTGCCATGTTTCCAAAATTTGACTACGAAGAGGGATGTTGTAATCATAATCGAATTTTGAGAACACAATATATAGAGTTTTTCCTTATGTTGAACCAATTCAACATGAAATTCATATATATATTCTTGACTAAAGATGATTAAAATCTCAATCTAAGCTTAAAATCCCACTCTAAGCCTTTTAGAATTGACATGAAGTATAATTTCCT